AAATGTACTTGTGGCCAACTTAAAACTTGAGCTCTACCTTCTGGATTTGTTTGCCTCATTCTGAGTTAAACCTTCCTTTCCCTCAGACCAGTTTTTACTTCCCTGCTGCCAATGACAGCAAACATCCTGCCTGTCAGCCTTAAACATTTTATACATACTTTCAGGCTTTCAGTAAGACAGACAGTGCATTTTGCTGGGAGTCTATCTGAGCCGCATGAAATAGCCTATCCATTATAATTTTCCAGTTCGCTACCAGCTGTAGCTGAAATGTATATCACAGCCTAGGGTTTGATTTTTTCATCTTGTATAAGAAAACCAGGAGACATGCAAAATTTAGTAATAACCATGTACCAAAATTCCTTTTTTTTTCCTTTTCTTTTCTATTCTTTTTTTTTTTTTCCTTTTTTTTTCCTGAAAGTATTTCCTTTGTCAGTTTGTAAAGAGGTCTGAATGTAATCCTTTAGGCATGATGTGCAGCCTTCCAAAAAGGAAAGCTGAAAAACAAATTAGACAAACATCAAGCACTGCAAGTAAAGCAACTCAGTTAGACAATGGTGGAATGGTATGTCACAAGGCTGAGGAATGAAGTACTTACTTCTGAGTGTCTTAGTAAAATCAGAGGTTGCAACAAAGTCCACAGGGTTTAATAATCTCATCATGGGTTTTTCTGTGTGTTATCTATGGATTTTGATGATATAATGAATGTGGTAGTGGATCTGCTCTACTGTACTTCCTGGAATACAGACTCAGCAGTGACAGGCAAAGCTATGTGCCTGATTTGGAAATACTATAGTATAAAAACAATGCAGTTGCCATTTCTGACAGCCATCAGTTCCTCTGCAAATAAGCAACTTTCCTTGAGCTGTTGGGGCACAGCACTCAAGCAGACCAGAATATAATACAAAGATGATTGTGTTGCTACATCTCTGTACAACGGTAGATACAAATGGATTCACTGTGTTGGTTAGGTAAGGCTAAGTCATTAACTTGAGTTAGCATACTTAAGGGTAAAGGAACACCACAGGGCCTTTTTATGTATCGCTTTGAGGAGGAAACAGATCAGGAACAGTAAGCAATAATTTCTGAAAACAGGAAAAAGCACAAATCCCTAGTATTGTCAGTAAGTGAAGAATTAGAGTGGATTGAATATTAAATGGTTTACCACAGTGAATATGCATGTATATAGCCTGGAGAAATTATTACAGGGCTGGCAAAAAGCCTTTTCCTCTGAAAAAAAGAGGAAAATAAGGAAAAAAATCTTGCTTTGTCTCATTTTTTCCTCTTGGGAACAGCTACATTGACATCATAATTGAAAGACATTTAAAAAAATTTAACAGTTTTCAATTTAAATATTAATTTCATTTTTTGGTTTCAAGGACTTGGCTTATTAAGAACAGACTCTTACTGGAAGGTCATTCAGGATTTGCTTTTTAAAACAACAATTTTTAAAATTCTTCTGAGTGTTGCAAATTCTGCAAGAGAGCCAATGACATTATCGTGTGAAAAGCAGTCTTGGCCTTTACACAGATTTCACACCTTTGCAGATACTATAAAGAAAATATTCTTCACACTGTAAAGGTATGTCATTGAATTTTTTAGCTCACTATCTTTTCATTGCTGCATCATTTTAAGAAGTCTAAAGATTCATGGTTTCATATTACTATATAAAGCTGCACATGTATGTGTGATGGCAAGCATATTTAGGAATCTGGGATCTGAACAGATCTCTCTGAAGAGACTGAGGCAAACAACACATCTCACTGAGAAAGGAAAAGATTTATAATTCAGGCATGTTTATTAATTATTACATTTAACTGTTTAATGTCAGCTTTATGAAACAAATTACATTTATACCATCCTGATAGATACTTAATTGTGCCTGAATAATGAGGGCATAAAATCTTCAAGCAAAGCTGTGACTTCAGAATTGAATTATGAGCTGAAGCCTTTGTTTCAATATCAGAGTCTTAGTGTTGAGTAATGGTGAATACTCTGCCTGAAATGATCTTCAAGATCATCAGGTGTCTCACTGTGGGAAGTTCTGAGACTATTTTTCAAAAGATGACTGGCATCACATCCAAAAAAGGTAAAATTTACCTTTATTCCTTGTAAATTTCACTTGTGCAGTGCTCCACAATGCCATGTTACAGATTGGAAATGGAGCTGCAAGAAGTTGTTCTAGGAAATGTAAGGAATTCTGTATGTAGAGATGTATGAATGTGCACATTTTTAGCTAAAGGCTTATACTATAAGTATGCCAAATAGTACCCTCAGACAAACTGGTTGGAAGGAATAGGTTGAGGAGCAGGTTGAAGGCTGGCAAGTGCGCACCCGCACTGCCATCTGGTGTCAGTGATCCCTTCCTCTGTGGCACAGGGTCTGTAACGGGTCACACTCTAGTTGGGGTGTCCCTCCCTGCAGTTGGTATGAGCCTGTCAATAGGTCTTATGAACAAAGAAACATCACTGGAACGGTGCTTTGCTTTCAACTGTTTCACGGACTCTATTTGTAAAACAAGAATGCTGTAATGACTTTGTGCAAAGCCAACACAAGAAATGGAAGTGTTTTCCTCTTAACTGTGGCCATACCAGGCTCTTCTTTCTGTACGTCAGCATCAGCAATGGCAGTCCTGTGTTCCTCCAGTCTCACCTGCATAATTCCCTCAGTTTCTATTCCTAATCTGACATAGTAATGATCTAATGAAAACTGCATGTGAAAAAACTAATGTAATATAACCAGCAAACATAGCTGTAAGTCTCCTTCCTCACACCTGGGGACTTCAGTCAGGCTGCTCAGATGAGGAAACTGTGTAATACCACAGTCCAATAAGTAAACATGACACATAAATCATCCTGTGACTGAAAAGACACTTATTGCCAAATTTCTAAAGAAATAATTTTAAGTTTTACAAAGAAAAACTTCAATGTGTGCAACTGTAGTACATCTTGTTACCCCTGAAGCTACCAATGGCCGCAAGTGCTCCAATCCAGACTACTTGAATCTTCAGTAATCAGGCTAGTTCGCACCATTCTCTGAGAAATGTCAGTATTTAATCCATCCAGAAAAACTCTGCTAAGTTTTTCAAAAAGTGTATTGCTTCAAAAATCAGTAGTTATTCTGGGAATAAAAAAGAAAAATAATTTAAATAAATAAATAAAATTAAACCCAAACTGTATGTGTAACATGGTCTTTTCTAAAACAGGGGCAATCTTTCATGTCTGTGACAGCCTGCTGGAATCCACAGACCCCCAGCAACCACTGTGCTGTCATGGGGGGGTGGGGGGAGGGGACAAGAATTTGGAGATCATGACCGTGACAGCTCCTTCCTGATGTTTGTTTTAATTAGATATTAAGGAAAAGGAAATTTTTGCTGTCCCTTAAAAAATAGCTACATTGGGCTTTTTCAGCTTCAGGAAAATAAGTCTGGTGTAATTCAACACACCTTCAAATAGGGACATATATATATATATATAGTTATTAACTGGGTTGGTTTTTTTTCCTTTGTGCAACATGTAAATTGTGCTTATTCTCACCATAGTGTTTTTAAAATCATTCTGTGTACAACCGCTGTCCATTTTCTGCAGCTCATCTTGAATCTATATGGACAAAACCTTGCAGTTAAACGTTTGCATTACTAATACTTGATGTATTTACCTCCCTGTTCTCTAGAGTCTAATGGACTCATATTTTATACTGTTAGATATATTTAATCAGTTTAGCAAGGCAAATATAGATTCAATTTTGCACTTGGAAGGTTTTTTGTTATAAGTCCAGAAAATTTTCTATATGACATGATAAATCTTTTATGGAACTCTTAATTGGGCATATTTTGTGTCAGTTTAGATGTTCAGCACTTTAAAAAATGAAGTTATTTAAATGCAGAGTTTAACCACTGCACATGCAGTGCTCTTTACTGCTTCACATAGGCTAGCTCTAAACTCTCCATGTCTTGAATATATTAAATTTGATAGATGGACATTGTTACAGTCAATAGCCAAAATACATTTGTACTTAAACAAGTGAGAACATAAATAATGAGTTTATAATCTACTTTTCATTTAAGAATCCCTAAGAGTTTGGGCACTCTGATTTGGAGTCTGTTTCTTTAGTTTGTGTCCAGATCTTATTCAAACATATGTAGTCCTACAGAGGTTATGATGCTTACGATTTGGTAGGCAGGAACAGCATACAGCTTGCTTCAAATAGTAATACGACTAAACTGAATATGTAACAGTGTGATATGACTAGACAGTCCTCTTCTTTGACCTTGAATTGAACTACTGAGTGGCTTTCTGATCCTCTGTGTCACCATTCCTTGTCTGATCCACATAATTGGCTCAGTAAGAACTTTCCAATACTGTGCTTAGATGTGCCTGGTCTAAGGTAAACATCCACCATTCTTCTGGAGAAAATGACACATCCAGTGAGAGCTTTTCTATCCTAATACAGAGACCTAAGGCTAAGGGATGCTGCACACTCTTGCTACTGCCTTCTCACTGCAGGGAAGTTACCCCATTTGTGCCTGGCACTTCTGTTATCCAGACTTCTCTTATTGGTAATGGTACTGAGTCATGCAATAGCTTCTTCCTTGCCTGTTGGCCTGAGCTTTCTTTGGAAGGAGGCGTGGGTACACAGGGAAATATTGCATAACATCATCTTCTTTGACATGAGGTTGGGATCTGACAGTTTTATATGGGAAACTGAACTGCTAATGCACACCTGCCACAATGATATCATAATTCCAGGCTAAAATGGGTAGGATAATGTGTAGGGTGGTTTTTTATTGATAAAAAAAAAAAAAGAAAGAAAGCTTAAATTATAGTTAAGATTGTATGTTAAACTTGAGGATGACCATGATTAAATTAAATTAATTTCACCTGAAACGGTATAGTCTATGTGTGTTTGAAGGGATTTGATACATCTCAAGGTAAGTAGTTTTGCTATCATAATTGTCAGATGAGCAGTTCTTGTAACACTGTGGTTTTCTTTCATAGGTGACACTACTGTATGCCTTTCTTCACATGAGACAAAACTTGAAATATTTTGATAAAATGAGATGCTTGCGGAAACGATCAGCAGTGTCGTTCTTAGGAGTCCTTGTCATTTGCTTGCTGTTCATGAACTTGTACATTGAAGATGGTTATGTTTTGGTAAGTTTCTTAGATGGACACAATTGTTCTGGAATGACAGAAGAGGACACATCCCTAGTTAAGCAGTCAAGTTCATAATTCCTACCATTTCCCCTGTTAGTGTACCATTAACAGTGAAGTATCCTTAAAATACGCGCTTTATGATGATGCCATCTTATCAATATGTACTGCACACACAGGGTGTGTCAGTAAGATCCTAACAGTCCTTTTCACAGAAGTAAAAACTGTCATTGTTTATAGGAAATATGGGAGATAATGAATGTAGCAAAATATGGAGACATCTTCTTTTGAGTCAAAACATCCCCTGTGTCTTCCATACTTCTGGATTTCCCTCAGTTTTAATGTTGAAAATCATCTACATCTGAAATACTCATGTGAGCTAGGAGCTTTTTCGGTCCTCACTGAAAATCTCACCTGTGAATACTGTATTAAACAATATTACAGATATACAGTTATAGAAGAGAACTTACATTGATTCCATATATTTCAAGCTCCTTGCATGAATAATTTCCTTTTAGTGCTTTTATTCTGTGTTTTTCTCACTTCCTGTATCCCAGATTTGAGTCTGGCAGGTTCAGTGCTACAGCATTAACTATCAGACATAAATGATACTTAGTGTAAGTTTATGATTGTGAAAAAGATTTATTGAAAGATATGTGTTCAGAATTTTAACACATAGGCTACTTACAGTGTAACCTAACTCTACAATTTATACATAACCTATGGGTGTCTCAGTGCTGAATGCCAAGTGAGCTCTGAAGACTTGATTAATGGTTTGAATTTCCAGTTCATCTGAGGTTGGACTGGGCCCAGTAAAAGAACATGGTAGTTTAATAGCTGGAGCTTGCAAACAGAAAAATGACTAAACTGAATACGTAACACTGTGATATGATTTGACAGTCCTCTTTCTTGAACTTGAATTGAACTACTAAGCAGCTTTCTGATCCTCTATGCCACCCTTTTTTGCTGGATTCATCTAATTGGGACAGTATGGGGTTTCCAATATTCTGAAAGGTGAAGTCTGATCTCAGTTGGATCTGAAAAACAACCTCATAGTATGAAAAACGTGATACATAAACAGCAAAACCCTTACATGAATTTATCAAAACCATAGATAACTTATAGTAACTCATAACATTACGTATAAAAATTTTGTAACTATTGTAAATATTTTTAAGACTATCCTACTACTTCTTAAACCATTGAAAAGATAACCCATGCTTCTAGCATGCTACTCCATTACAGACATACTGCTTTCTCTAACAGTACTTGCACTAAAGTTTTGCACTACATTTTATTTATTCATCATTTCTTGGTTGTGATCGAATTTGACCTGGCTTATCACTTTTTTTTTTCCCAGTGGTATTTTCCCTGATGCTTCTCCTTTCACTAATTGCTTCAAAGTCCCCCAGATGTTTCTGAAAGTGCTTTTCTTATCACTGCTAATGGTGTTCCTCTTGGTTTGTTTTTTAAATCTTTTCCTGTCCTATTTGCCAGCTCCCCAGATGGTTTCATGTCTTATTCTTAATTTGCTCTTTTTTACCCCTTTTTTAGAAATCCACTCTCCTTCATTGCTTCTCTCATCACAGTTCTGGCATGTTTGCATTCATGTAGCTCCCAGCCAAGTCTCTTGCCAAGTCTCCTGACAGTTCTCCCAGGTCTCTTGATACCTTTCTGGTCCATCAAGCATTTTTCAAATGTGTTAGGCTGTTGACTTTTTAGGTTGGTTTTGGTTTTTTTCCCAACTTTCCTGACCATGTCTGACAGCTCCGTTAACTTGTCTGGTGTGTTTTCTCTGCTGAGGTAAAAGATAATCAGTTTCAGTGTTGGTGAGGCAAGATAGACTGGGGAATATCTTTCAAGGACAGCAGGCTAACCAATTCCCCTCAGGGAACAGGAATCTGAAAGTCCTCAGAGTCCTGAAAGTCCTCAGAGTCCCAAAGGCCTTGCTAATTGTAGCGAGTCTCCTGCTGGAATATCTCCTGAAGGTAACTGACAGAGGAAGGGTGCAATTGATCCCAAGTTTCTCTTCCAGTCTCAGAGAGCAGGTTGTGCAAGTGAATGTGGGACTGGGACCTCTTTCACCAGATGTAAGATGAGCTGAGTGGCCTTTTAGTTAGAATGACCAAGTAAGATTCATTGTGGCAAATCTTAAGAAGGGAGAGAACTTTCACTTTTTGCTCAGAGAATTTCATGTGTCCAAAGAATCCCTTCACTGTTTTATGCACAGCATTTGCTGTGGAAATGGAAAGTAAGGGCCCACCTGGGAAAATATCTTAAGTATATTTGATAGAGGGTGTACAGTGCTGATGCATGTGTCAGCAGAGCAGTTTAAGATGCTGTTTCTGCAGTGTGCGTACCACATCCAATCAAACATTTTGAAGACATGCTGAATTAATATAAACTAGATGACAATATCTGTATGATTTGCAGTGATTTTTTATACATGTTTTGAGTTGTAAGTGAACTGTAAGTGAAGCATGCTTTCTGCACTTTTCTATGAATACTAATCATTATTTTGGGCACTATGAAAACAATAGAATTGTAGCTGACACAGCATCCTTAGTGGAGCAAATTATCTCTATAAAGAATGGAGAACTTCTGGCATTTCTTCCCATGGCACCCACAGGAACCATCCAAGCTCCAGCAAACACTGGAATGTAAGTTAGAATAAGTTAGTTAACAGACAAAAGTAAGAACAATGACAGAAAAAAATAGGGAAGACAGATAAAGAGAGAAATGTTTTAAATGCTTGAAAAAGCCATATTTCAGTTTTGCTTTTCATTCAAAAAAGGAATGAAAACAACAATTAAAAAAAAAAAAAAGATTGTTAGCCACAAAAGACATTTCTTAAAGAGAAAAAAAAAAAAGGAAAATATTTGTGGTCAGTTTAAATATCTTGCTGCTTAAAATCAAAACATTTTGTCCTGACATTGTCTATTTCTAAACATTTTGAAACTTTTTATGTAGAAAAACCTCAGCAGAATGGGTTTCCATTCCAAAACCTTCTTATGAAACAAAGAATTTTGGTGCTCCATTCTGGAACCAATGACACATAATGTTTTGACATTAAAGAAAGGCTGGCTTTAAAAAAAGAAAGTTTTTGGACCAACTATCCAGCTTTTTTTTTTTTTCCATTTGACAGTTTTCATGGGAAAAGTTCCTGAAGCTTTAGTGCATTGTCTTTCTACCCCACTGAGTTACATTTTAATCTAGAATCTGATCAACATAAACCTTCCTCTCATAACATGTGAGCAAATGCAAAGTAGCATAGTAGCACTAGAAAGAAATTACTGGAGAGACATTGCAGATCAAGAGAGCATAACAGTGCTGATAGATGCCCCTGGTTGTCCACCAAAGATTTTTACTAAGCTCAGAAGTGGATTATTTACTATTTCTATGAAAGAAAAATAATGAACTTAAAGTGAACCTAGGATCGGTGTACAGAAATATTTCCTTGTGCTATAAAAAATCTTTGACACATTTTTGAATATCTATACCATTAAATATGAGTGCTGTTTCTGTGGCTGTTGTTGTTAGCAGCAGTACTATCACTGCACAATACTCCCATTTAATGACAGATCAGGAAGTTTTTAGTGCATTAGCATGTTATATATATCAGAAGAAATGAACTTATTCATACACTGGCCTGTCATCAGACTAGAATCAAGCAGTGCAAATTAAATAACAAATTACTACCTTTAAATTCAGTCTCGTGACAGTACAACCTGTTAGATATTTTTCCCTTTCCTTAAGGACTGGGGAACAGATTTTCCCTGAGACCCGGCTGAACTTATGGATATGGCACTGCTGATGAAGCCTCTCCTTCCCTTGTCTGACTTTACTATGGCTTTATTCCTCTTGGTAGGAAAAGACAGAAGAAGGAGGCAGTAAGAGGAGGCATGATGATAAACTTGTCTTTTTTTCTATACCATCAGTGTTCATTAAATCCAGAGAGAGCCTTGGCTGTCTGGATGATCACATGCATTTCTGCTTATCACAAATCTGAATTGGAGCTACTCAGAAAAGTGGCAAAATGAGCCAAATGCCAGGATCTAGTTTTGTCTTTCCTTTGCAACAGTTTTGGTGGGGTTTTTTAATCACTGAAAACACTTTCAAAAAACGTCCCCTGCTTCACCATCTATAAATATTATCTCATCTGTTGCCGACTGATGTTTTCTTATTGCTATTTCGAATACCACCGAATTTTTTGGTAATAACTTAGTGTTTGCAATCTTTCCAGAGTTTTTGTCCAAAATGTATTTTCTTCTTTTCATGTTGCCATAATCTGAAGGGTTATGGTAGATCTTCTGTAGCCAAAAATGCATGATATTCAGTAATGGGTTTTTTTAAAAAAATGAGGTGACATCTACATGCTTTCACGAAGCTGACACTGAAAAATGTTACTCTTGGAAACCTGCCTGTCTGTGTTTCCTCTCTGGCTGGCATTCACAAATGTGTTTCTCTCTGTCTCTCTCCCTCTCCTATTCTTTTTGTTTTCTCGCTAATAGGAAGGGGACAAGCAATTAATCAGAGAAACAGCCACGCACCAGCTCAACCCAGAGCGCTATGTTCACACTTTTAAAGATTTGTCTAATTTCTCAGGATCTATAAACATTTCCTATCGCTACCTAGCTGGCACGCCTTTGCCAAGAAAAAGTAAGTAACTGCAATCTGAATGTTATGAAATGAGGTAATTTAAAAATGCGTGAAATCCATATAGTCCCTATGGTATTTCTAGGCACGAGGGTATGAGTTAAGCAGTGACTATCTCAGAGAGTTAGTGGGACAGCTATCTCTCCCTGCTTAGGCAGTGCCTGGGTGGCTGCCAGTTCAGCCCTAGCAGTGACTGCCCCACAGCCTGGTTACCTTCTGACCAAATGTCTGCCTTGTAGTTGTCCTCCAGGCAGCCCCTGGATGGTCTGTACGAGCATATTTTTGTGGATCTCCACCCCAGGCCAGGGGTGAGATGATTCAGGAAGCAGAAGCAAGTGCTGGTGGTGCTCTGTAACCACCCTCTGAGACCATACTTTCAGCTCTGTACAAGCAGTAACTCCAACCTTAAAGTTCCCCATTCTGCCAGTCGAGCAGCTGTGAATGGATCTCCTTGTTACTTTAGCTGTGATAACGAGGGAGGTGAATTGTACTCTTATGGGGACAGTAAAGGAGGATTTCTTCTCACAGTCATCTGCAGATGGGCTTCCTAGTTATTCTGACTGCAGGCAGGGTTCAAGACTTCCCTCTTGCAATGAAATATGGTCATACCTAGCTTTTAGACAGGTGTCCTTTAGGTTCCAAGTCAATCATTTCACAAACATAAACAAGGCTCAGAAGTCAAAGCACAGATGGTAAAATAAAATCATCTGCAAGTTGTTGATCTTCATAGAAAGCAAAGTTTGTTCAAATTAGATTTGCAAAATTTGGGGCTGTGTAGGCAGTGTGAATGGCTTCTGGGGGTTGTACTTCACTGTACAACTGCATTTCAAGCAGACTTCATCCTCGAGGGACACTGAATCAATTTATCAGAGAAATCTTTCATAAACCACAATATTTTTTAGAAGTTGGGGTAGGTTCAAGCAAAGTACTCCCTGTCAATTACAAAGTCTTAACATATTTTTACATCGGCAGTTAGAAAAATTGAGATATACTAGCACATATCTGAAAAAAATTATTTGGGCTTCTAGTAAAAATGCAATGGTGACTCCAAAACCAGCAGAGATGAAAATTCTTCCCTCAAAATTAAGATGCATCTCCCTCTAGAAAGATGTAACAGCATTAAAAACTATTTATACAAACACAGGTATGCAGTAGTAAGTTCTCTTCTCCTTTAAAATAATATCTAAATATGTTCCCTGTAAAATGCTCAATGAGTCCTGAAAGAGGATTAGAAGGACTATTAGCCAGGAAAAATTGGGGAAATTCAGTTAAGAATGAACACACAGAAATAAATTTTCCATGCAACATTCATAAAACTTTAAAGTTATGTATAAGTGTGACTAGTCCTGTAGAGTGTTTAAAATTATAAAAGTTTGGAAATTAATATATAGCTCATGTTTTTGTGCTGCATTTTGTAGTTCCTTGCTTTAAAAATATTGTGTGAATCTTATCTCATAATCCCCTTACTTTTAGCAGATTTTACAGCCTTATCATTGTGTACATGGTTTCCTCTACCAGGCACATATGTGCATATTGCTTTGCCTGTTGTCCACTGCGTGTTTAATGAATGTTTAATGCAATAGTCTCCATATGTCTATTTGCTTGCAATACAGTTCTTCTTTCATGAAAGGGCAATAGACATCCTTCATTGCATGCAGCTTAATAAGTTCACATGCCAAACTTCTCAGACTTCACCATTTAAAAGGTTGGTTTAATATGAGTACAGGTCTGGAGGATAGCTTTATGGCAAAATGGTTTCCAACACCAGATACTCAGTTTTTGTTTGAATTGTCTTTTGTACAGGGTATCTTACAATTGGGCTATCCTCTGTGAAAAGGAAAAAGGGAAACTACTTGCTTGAGACCATCAAGTCCATATTTGAGCAGTCAAGTTATGAGGAGCTCAAAGAAATCGCAGTTGTAGTGCAGCTGGCAGATTTTGACTCAGCCTGGTGTGAAGGGATGGTCCAAGATATTTCACAGAAATTTGCACATCACATAATTGCGGGCAGATTAATAGTTATTCATGTCCCTGAGGAGTATTATCCTGTACTGGATGGCCTCAAGAGAAATTACAATGACCCAGAGGACCGTGTGAAGTTTCGATCCAAACAAAACGTAGATTATGCTTTCCTTCTTAACTTCTGTGCTAATCTTTCTGACTATTATGTGATGCTAGAAGATGATGTTCGCTGCTCAAAGAACTTTTTGACTGCTGTTAAGAAAGTAATTACCTCACGAGAAGGATCCTACTGGGTGACTTTGGAGTTCTCCAAACTGGGGTACATTGGAAAGCTTTACCATTCCCATGACCTGCCACGCCTGGCCCATTTTCTGTTGATGTTTTACCAAGAAATGCCTTGTGACTGGCTGCTCATCCACTTCCGTGGGCTGTTAGCTCAAAAGGAAGTGATACGTTTTAAGCCATCTCTCTTCCAGCACATGGGATACTATTCATCTTACAAAGGAGCTGAAAACAAGCTAAAGGATGATGATTTTGAAGAGGAATCATTTGATATCCCTGACAACCCACCTGCAAACTTGCACACCAACATGAATGTATTTGAAAATTATGAGGCAAGCAAGGCTTACAGCAGCATTGATGAGTATTTCTGGGGCAAAGCTCCTTCTACTGGAGACTTCTATGGGATTGTATTTGAAAAGCCCATCAAAATCAGTAAAATTAAAGTTGTCACTGGTACAGAAGACCGACAAAATGACATTTTGCATCATGGGGCCCTGGAAGTGGGAGAAAAGATTGTAGGGAGTAAAAAAGGGAGACAATGTACTACTTACTTGAGACTAGGGGAATTCAAAAATGGGAATTTTGAAATAACAGATGTAGAGCACAAAGTTCTGTTTGATATTAACTGCATGAGAATACTTGTTACCAAAAGTCAAAAAGAATGGCTGATCATTAGAAGCATTAGCGTCTGGACTTCACAAACACCAAATCAATAACGCAAAGCTACCTGAGAAGGTACAGAGTGCATACAATCATCTGGGTCCCAACTGGTGCCATTCCCCAGAAAAACTGACTTATTTCCAACTCTTTACTAGAGACACAGAAAATCTGGGGAAATCACAAACCAAGCAAAGCAATTTATTTTTTACTAGTTTGGCCAGGCAATATACAAACACTTATTTGTTGAAAATTTTGAATTTTATAGTAAATGTAAAGTTCTCAAACCTCTTGTGAGATCTTGAGCCCCTTTTTTATTATCATTTCTCTGTAAGAGAGATCTGCTGGACTAAACAGAACAAAACAAAACATCCTACAATTACCAAAAGGTTTAAAGCTATGAAACAGTATGTTGTGAAAAGAAGTTGGGTTGCACCTTACACACATATGAATTTAAAATATTATGGTAGTATGAATTTGTACAATAGTTGGTGATGTGTTTCTTTTAAAGGCAGTTGTGACAAGGAAATATGTCCTGAAATGGGCAGTTTCGTTCTGTGCACTGTAAGAAAATAGTGTTGCAACTTCTTTTCAAAAGGGAATGTATGTAAAGTTATAAATCTGACATGACAGCTATGTAAAAAATAGATAATTGCATCTGTTATTCTGTCTCAACAAATATCCTTTGTTCTTTTTCCTGGGTCCTTTCACTGAAATGAGCACTACTTGGATTCTATATTACTTAGGGGACCAATTTACTCTCCTTACTCGAACAAAATGCCTCATAGTAAGCAAGCATTCTGCTTGAGTACAGATGTCGCTATCAAACCCAAACACCTCAAGGGCAACACTGTTCTCTTAGACAGGCATCTTAACAGATCTCAGCTTCAGCATTTTCTGTTCCTTCACAATATACAGAACTCCCCATGAGAAATTTGCACATAGCTGAATACTGCAGCATGCTTTCCAAGGACTGTTATGCCTTCCATATCTACAAGTCCAGTCCACGTGTGATACAAATGTAAAGTTTGTGCCAGGGTAATCAATTGGAAGCAAACGTAATCATCAGTCTTTCCTGGATGATCTCTAGCCAATAGAGTGGATGCAAAATGGAGAATCTTGATTTAAAGAAAAAATAATATGTTTCTAATTTAGGTTTTTTTTTTTCTTCAGTTTTGTAATCCTGATCATGTTTGTTTTGTAGACATCTCACTGCCTCTGGTTATTCCCTGTAAGCTTATTTTGCCTGGCTTTAGCCAATAAGCAGAAAAATTCCTGCAGTCCTCATGACTTCAGTGCCAGCTCTGGGCTTTTAGTGCATCACACAGGGAGGCTGTATAGCTATATGATTTAGACTGTATGCATACATTTGGATTAGCAGAATGTATGGGGATTTTTTCCTCTAAGAAATTCTCCAGACTTTCTTGGTAGACACACTAAGAAATCCCTGAGTACCAAGTGTGACACAGATGAACACTGTATTGTCAATCTCATGAATACTGTCGTTATCTTCTAATTGCATGTATGGGTTTTAGTTAAACCTGGAAAGCAAGGATTAAATTTCAAGAATGTCTGCACTGACCAAGAGTGAACTAACTACTGCACTCAGTACATCCAAACCTAATGTGACTATTTCAGAAGGGTAAATTATTCATAAAACCACACAAAACAACAATGTAATTGCTTTTCCTGGTTCATAAATCCTGATAAATTCAGGTCCAGGTTTGGCAAATCCCCCTATACAGAGGTAAGGTACATTTTAAAATAAATCTTCTCATATATGCTTCTACATAATTCAGAAAAACATCCTATTCTCAAAGAAAGTCCTTGTTTCTTTGTTCCTTAATGCACAGCTAAATCCCTATTCTTCATATACATATATTCAGTAAAATAAATTTTCAATCTGAAAAGGAAAATACTAACATTTTTAAAAATGAAAAATACATGCTAATCTCAAATGGTTATAAATACTTATGAAGGACTTGCTTTTTAACAGTAATCTCCCATGATTATCAAATAATCAGTTGATAATTAGCCATTAGTCAACACCAATTTTTTTCATGAACTTTCATTTTCTATTTTTCCTTTCCCTGATGATTAACTATTAGTGCCAAAGCAAACATAACTAAGTTAACCAGGAACATTACCTTTATTCTTTTTTACAGAAATGCAGTATGTCCAAACCAATCTTCTAAATTTGAATGGAAAATATACTCAATCCCAAAGTTTAAAATGTTCTTGTAATCAAAACCATACACAGTGTGAATGTTTAACACAAATTAAATGCTCTCAACATAAGCCTGAAGTAATTTAAATAGTATTTTTGAATTGAGTTGAACAGAACTCCATACCTTTTTAAAACAACAGTAGTAATGAGTCTCATCTTCCATATCATAACTTAGCAGTGAGAACTCTCATCTGGCTGTTACCAGTAAGAGAGGGTGAAACCCACAAATGCCAATGTGACTGCCTTCAAAGGAAGCTTTTCTTTGGTGTGGATAGTGGTATGTGCCGGGAACGAGAGGCATGCACCACTCTTCCTGTTAGATTTGAGTTGATTTGGAAAAAATAATTAAAGATACATTTATTCCAGGAGAGGCAAGAACACAGTTCTGTTCGCTAATGTTTTGAGCACTCACATGGCTACATGGGTCCCAGCTCCTCCTTCACAGAATACATATTTTATCCATCTCGTTCACATGAAAATAGTTGCCAAATTTTTAAGAAAGTAGAAAGCCATGTAATTAATGACAACTAGTTTTCAGACAAATTTCAGAAAGATACATTTGAAGATATGTTTTTTTCTTCATGTACTAAGAAAAGTGAATGACTTCTGAAAGGGAAATTCTTAATCAGAGGTGCATATGTTCACTAGTACTTCCCAAAGTTTGGATTTTCTTTTTTTTATTGATGAAGCAAAAGATTAGCAGTGTCACAAAGCTCTGTTCATTGGTGTATACAGTTGGTTCTATTGGTGTGTATTTCTTGTGTTCATTTGTGGACTGAACGTCAATATTTTCATACTGAAATGCCAATACTGAAAATATTACACTGTGGTCTGCACACTGATGGATCTATTCTTCACTAACATAAATGTATCTTTCCTACTGGCACTGTTTGGGATTCCTCATTGTGTAACTTCCCTGGGCCATTTTTTTTTTTCTTAACTAAAATCCAGTTTGTCTTCTATCTTTCTTCATGTAGTGTAATCCCTCTGACATAGGGAATTATTGGGAAGTAAAATACTGCTTATTGTGAATTAAAAGAAGAACTGAGACCTTAGTTTAATGAAGAATAAACAAACCCGGAAGACAGTACTGTTCAGGCAAAACAGTTTTAACATATTTACCATGTGTACTTTGATAACGATAATTCACTAAGGTGCTATATGAATGTATTATTTTTAGATCAATATTCTAACATGATGCTCTGTTTTATTCTCTGCTCAGTATTCTCTTGTGTTAGACACTAATGTTTTTGCTTTTATAAAGGGAAATTGGGAACTTATTCATTATTAAATTATTAAAAGTTAAATAATCAGCAAACTATAACACCTTAGAAAATATTTCTTTTTGGAAAACTATTAAAGGGAAAAAAAAACATGATTAACCATCTTAAAAACTGCAGATGCAATCCACTTTCATGGCGAAGCATTTCAGTGATTCTGATGGAAATGATTGATAGTTCTTACTACTCTTATGTTAAATTTGCAGTTCTGTTAGGCTACATTTCAATAAGTATTAAATTATGAGTAGTAATGCAGATCATGTATCATGAGCTTAAGCACTGTCATATCCTCAAACAGTACAGTATAATGTTTTGCAAAACACGTGGAAAATACAGATGTATTATAATGAAAAAAAATGAAGTGATTTTGATGTCATATTCTGTATACAAAGACAAATGAATTGAAGTGTCTCTACCACTCTGTCAGCTTTTCAGATAAAGTAAAACAAGGGGCTTAAACCTTGTTCTTTTCTCCTTAGTCCTGGGAGATAAAAATTACAAAATTTCTACTCCCTTTAATGGAATCAGAATTGACCTATATGCTATAAAAGACTGGAAGTGTTGATTTTGTAAAATAATTATCTTTTTGATATAAACAAATATTTCTCATTTTAGTTTTAGCCATCCTGTAAGGCTGAAATTAAAATAGTCTCCAAAGAAATGTGGTTTGGTATATCCGGATGGCATTTTCCAAGTTCTTGCTTCTTTTACTAGTTTTGTCACAGCAAATGCATTCCGTGTCACCTAGGCATTCATGCCCTTTAGCAGCACAGTCAGGCATGTAGACTAGGATCTGTTTTTCTCTACTCACTACAGCTGGAGGCTATGCAAGTGTTTTGGCCTGAATGTTCATTTCCTAGATAATTACAGATGCAGGAGATCTGTTTCTTTTGCATGATTACATACAATACATATAAATCTAGATAAAAACATATGATATTTACAGATAATTTCCTGTCGGCTGTACCACTCTTCACAGCAAGGGTGTTCAATATCTTCTTCATAAATACTACCTTGCAATTTCAATGAAAATAATTTGTGCAGCTTTAAAATAAGGAATGTGAATATCTGCCTTAGGTAAATAAAAGTTTAACAATGAAATTAAGTACAGAGAAAGATTAATTACAGTAATATTTCCATAATAGTAGTTTGTTGTTAAACTGGCATTAAATTGAATTGACATCTGGGTAGATACAAGGCTATGTTTTAGCCACATTTCTAGATGTTTTTCAACTGCCATACTACCTACTACAAATTCTCAAATAAAATTCCACTTTGTCCTGACAGTTGTAAAAAGGCTCTTAAAATTCCATGTCAAACTTGAAAGTACGTTAAGTAGGGTTATATTGCTAATTAAGCTCTTTGCCTGCCCTTAGCTGGGCTTATGTAGGAGTTTCACATTTAATGAGTAAAGCTGAACATCAAAAGCTCATGCTCACTTCCTCCATTCAGCTGGTTAAATAGCTGCCTTCCCTCTTTCTTGCTATTTACTCATTAACATCAGTTTTGCTTTTGCCAGTTCAGGAAAATCTGACTGGCAGCCATAGAAACC